AAGCTGCGATGCACAAACATGTTGAAGTCCAAAAGGCTGTTTTTAAACCAGCATTGTTTTGTTCAGAAAGCAGCCATTTCTTTCTGAATATGGGTGACTGGAATTCAGATTATAATTAATTCCTGTTTGCAGACATAAATATTTATGGTGAAAGGAGGCTTTCTGAAACAAGAGAATTCAAGAATTCCAGCTGCTATTTCCCACCTGAATGGAGCTTGGTGGGATGGGCACTGTGGAAAGTCCCCTTTCGTTTGGATCCAAAGCATAGCAAAGGGTCAGCAGAGAATACATTTGGATTCAAAATCAGTAACCTGGCTTTGCTGCACCTCGTACTCTGCTGCAGGTCTACTATAAGCTACACGATCTCTTCTCTAGCCCAGCATCTCTCAACGCGACTCCCAGGTCACACAAACTGTCTTTGCATCAATAACTTCAACCGGGACAAAACCTGAGGGCATGTCCTTCAAGTGTTTTAACTGTGCTCATGTATTAGAGTCTCTACAGGGGCACTGCACCTCCTTCTCTTCCTGCTCCTCACAACGTACTTCGTCTCCTTCAAACTCCTTCCTCTTCACAATTCTAGAAACATTCTTGAGAGTTTTTCTCGGGTTTGTGTAACACATTGTATCTGCTCTGTCCTTTTTAATAGGACAAAAATTACATATGGGAAAGTGGTTTCTTCGTTTGGATAAAACTTAGGCTTATATGATTCATGACATTAAAAACCAGGGAACGCTCTCCTTTGCTGATCAGTGAGGCAAAAACACGAGTCCAAGTGAACCTCTGACTAAAGAAACCAACAGTTAGAAATGTCTATTTTTTCATATTCGGCTTTAGACACTACATCTAAACTAAAGGACTGACTCTGAAACTGACTGTAATTAAAAAACAAATCTCAAATTCTCACTTTTCAACTATCTGGTAACATCTTGAGTTTTATTATTCCACTTTCCCATTCTTTTGAATTTTTTTTATTATAGTTTGTATTAAATTTTATGAAATAAAAGGACAGTGACTCAGCAATTGAGAAAAATCCCTTGTTCGGCCTTTTTGTTTAAGTCTGGTAATTAATTTAACGACAGATGTACTCCTCTGGGGGAAAAAAAACTAAACAACAAAACAAAAACCCACGGAAGTCAGAATCAAACTGCTTAACTGGCAGATTTTTCAGTTTTTAATTGAACTGATTTAGTTTTTACCTGATCTGGAATCACCGTTAATTTTCATTTAGTTTTTCCTTTTTTTACTTCTGGGAAGGTTCCCTCTGGTCCTGGCATGTTTCCCTGTCACTCTGATGAATATCGAGACAAAGAAATCCTTCCTTTCCCAGCAAGAACTGCCTCATCCGTTGCTAATTTCCCTCCTATCCCTTATGGAACACATGGCTCCTTTCTGTGACCTCTTGCTGTGCACACATTCATGAAACCTTTTCTTTCCATCTTTCGCAAAATTTTTCAGTTTTGGTAATAACTTTTCAGTGTATGTTTTCTGTCTATTCTCATCTAGATAACACAGAAGAAATGCAAAGACTTCTTCATGAACCTGTTAAGCAAATCTGTTAAATCACTTCTTATATTAAAAAATTACTTCTCGTTTTCTTTTCATCCCTTTTAGCTGTACATTCATTTCCATAGCAACAAACTTACATGGTATCTGTTGCTCAGCATTTTCTGTTTCCTTATTTGCTTTCTTCCTGGCCCCTACGTGAGCTACGTCTCTGCAGAGGCACACACCAAAGAAGGAAAATGAGAAAACATGCATTTAAATTGTCATGTTCTGGCTGCTGGATCTAGCCAGGGATTTACTCAAAACGTAGCGTGGCTTGTCACTTAATGACCTTCTGTTGGACTCTCACATGACAAATAACTCTCAAGTGCATGGGAATTTTTGCAATTGTATTTTCCCTTCACATCATTTGCTCTTGGTTCAACACATCCTTATGCTACCGTCTTAATTAGAGAGCAGCCCAAAACAGTTCTGCAAATCCTCTGCACCAGCAATACTAAACAAAAAGATACCGCAGTTTTCCAACCTTCCACCGAGTATCTTCACTTCACTTTGATTCAACATTTTAACTTAATCAAAACAAGGCAAGTTAACTGTTCTCTTAGAGAAACATTACAGTCCAAACTTTTGCGTTAATAAATGTAATATTATACAGGCAATTCCAGAAAACTCTCACTTACGCAAAGATTTATTTCATTAATGAGGAAGGCCTAGCAACTTGCATTAAAAAAAAGAGTCAATGAAAAGTCCATGATTATGAAGCCTGCATGAAACGCTATAGCACTCAAAGACTGTATTTAGCATTATAAGGACCTAAAAATTATGCTGGTTTGAAGATCAAATGACACTAATATTTATTTAAAATAGAGTAGTTTCTTCACAGAAATCTGCCTTTAAGAAATCTACCTTAAATCTACCTACTGCTTCCTTTCTGCATTTTCTGTGCTGACTTTGGCTCTTGGAAATAAACATCGCAGTGTTCCTTTTTCTTGATGGGAAACTGATGCAATTCTGAGTCTGAATTCTCATTTCAAGCGTAATCAGTTATTTCATTTGGTGCCAAGGAAACTCAGCATTCAGGATCTTGCTCAAAAATAGTTAAGTGAGATTAACTATAAACAGCTAATAAAACTAACAGGTAAATTATTTGCATGAAAACATGAAAATAGGCCACACAAATTCTAAAGTACTTTATTTGAAGTTAGTACAACCTACTTTTTGCGCTAGGAAAGATGAACAGAATTTGTCACAACAATTAATTCCCTTTACTGTTGACCGAAAATGTGCAATGTATAAAATAAGTCTTAGCGAGCAATTAAGATCACCAGGTCAACTATGCAACATTTCATAATAAAGTTGCTACTCAGAAAATGAGTGCTCTTTTTCTTGCCACTCTCAGCAGCCTTGCTCGTTTTGCATATGGTTGCATGTTTAATTAGCAATCCTTCTGTAAGTGTCTGCAATTAGTACAATGATGATTAATAAAATAACTCCTTTAAAGCTCCATTTAGGCAGCAGAACTGCACAATCAGGTATAATTAATTCATCATTAATAAATCATGGCTGATTAACTAATCTGTTGATTACAAACACATTACTGCACAGTCTCCCACCTGAGCTCTGGTGATTTTTCTATCCTGAACAGAAAGAGAGACCAAGTAGTAGTAAACTATTAAAAAAATGCATTAAGCAGCAAAGAAATCAGTTTGGTCAGGAAACTCAGATAGCATTTATATTCCAATTTTACTGGGCTTTGTTCAGTATTAGTCCCCTGGAGCAAAAAAAAACCACCTACTGTCTATTTGTTATGTGTATGGGTGAAAAAGAATTGCTCCTTTAGTTCATTTATATTCTTAAGGAGGGTTGTTGTTTTCCAAAGCCCCTCAGATTATGGGCCAGATTCACTCTTTGCATAAGTCAGTAGGAAGCAGCAAAAGCAGCAAAACAAGCCTGCAGTACGGCTCCTCAAGATCCAGGTCGCTAGCCAGAAAGTGGGCAATTTGCCTTGTGAAATTATAAGGTCAAGGTGGCTGCTAAGTACGTCATTGTGACATTGCTGTTAAACCGACTCCATAGCCGTGCCTTGCATCTGACGATGAGTCCATCTTTATAAACCACATTTCAGGTCCATGAACGTCAGAAGACTGAATACAGAAGAATAACATGCATTTCTGTTTGGAGACTCTGCTTGCTTGCCACCTAGCTCTTGAGCGTTGTAGTGCACTTAAATCATATTTTTGGTATGTTGAGTGTAGTGGCAAGAGCCAGAAACTTTGATTTCGTATGAATCCTAGGATTCTCACACTGTTACTTGCCTCCAGTTACAGGGATTAAGTAAGATGTAAATTACAGGCTACAATAAAATTCACAGTAACTGGAAATAGGGAGACTTGGCACAACAAAGTTCCTCCTCATTTATTGGGCTGGCCATAAAGTAACTGCGCTTTTTTTTTTTACTAGATGGACATGTCTTGAAATGAAAATAACTTCATTTTAAATTGCAAATTCATGATGTAACTTGACAGCTGACAGTTCAAGCTTGCTTTAGAAAAAGAAAGTGCATAACTTCATTTACAATTATTGCAAAGAAAAAGAACTAAAGCAAAGCTTAAGACAAAAGAGATTGGAACGGGAAAACAGTTTTAGCTAGAGTAACTGAAACAGTTCAATATTCCAAATAAATCCAGAGAAAGACGAGAACACTGGAAAAAGTGACAAGATCTGAAGCAGTACACTTCACGAAGAGAATGACAGAAGAAACTTTTAATTTAGGAACAAATTTTCAGTCTTTGAAAAGTAAATTATACTGCTGCAACCAATGAAGTTTTCTTTCAGATCTTAACCAGTTTTATGTGCATCACCGTATCAATCTCTTAAATCTTTCTGCTAAAACTTTAATTAAGAATATTGACTAAGCAGCAGTACTATGAGCCACTGTAACACCATTCATCTTTGAGAAATACGAACCATAAAGCACATTTAACTATTTTTTTTGTATTTTAATTCAAGTAAATTAACAAACATATGTATCATGTCAATATATGGTAGGGAATTTTTCTATTTTATTTTTTTTTAAAAGGACTGTAGTCAGATTTCATGGAAAATGACTGAATACTGAAAAAGGTTTCTTGTTTTATCAACCAGGAAAGTTTACAATTCAATCCGGGAAACAGAGATGGCTTTTAAACATGGAATTTGGAAATAAAGAAGTGTAATTTAAAAGCAGAAAAACAAGATAGCTGTCCTTGGACAGTCTCTGAGGTCAGTGCACGTATGAAGTGTACACTTTTTCTCTGCAAGATGAAAGTGGAGAAAAGAATACCAAGGATCTTGATGATCAGACATAAGCATTTTCAAGCAACCTTTTAAAATGAACAGTAAGTAATCAAAGACTTTCAAGGACAGTGGTGATTCGCTACCTAGAGCTAAGATATAATCAGCACAATATGAATAATTGGAAGGTGTGGGAGATGAAGTTGTTAGTGTCAGTTTCTTCAGAAAGTCAGTTGTCCTTTTAATACAATAGCAATTTGCCCCGCAATGTCAACTCTTCCATCATTACGCAGTGAAATCTTCAACTCTCCTCCACGGCGGGAACATTGAAAAGCTAAATGGAAACAGGAATCCACAGTTTAAAAAAAATAGTAATTAGCACAAATTATTTTAAAAAATCCATGAAAACTCAGGGAAATGAGGCATCTGCCTCCACAAAGCAAGCAGCATCAGGGCAGCTCTGTACCAGAGACACCTTGGATGAGTTGTCTTTAAGGTTAAAGATCAGATGACCGTGTATCTCAGACTAGAACTTGGCTATTGAGTCTAACAAAAATGCTAGATAATACAAGTACTGAAGGATAGCTTGCCATGAAGTAGCCAACCAAGTTTCCTTTGTATATCTAAAGAAGTCTTGAATTCTCCCATTCACGGGACAGACAGTTTCTGCAGGTAAGAAGGAAGAACACTGCGTGTTAGATGCCTAAGAATGAAGGACCACTTTATGGGCAATCAGTATCTGAAGTAGATACTATGTTCAAAGAATGTGTTTAGCTAATGGGTAGATACAACTCAAGCAGCCAGGGCAAAAAGTCTACAAAGAAAAACATATACTGCTTCAGCTGTCACAAAATGAGACTGAATTCTTACACAGGCAGGAACAGATACTCATTTATATAATCCTGAATATGGCATTTAATACAGCTGGATAAAGTTTAAGTAGAAATACCCTTCCACTTTGTAATTACAAAACTAATCTTTGCCTAAACTATTTAATCCTATATAGGTGGGACGATAATGCTCACTGAGCATATTGAGCCTATAGACTTGTTTAGTAATTCAGTTTTACTACTAGATGAGAATCTGGTCTGGCTCAGATGGCATTTAGCAAAGGTTTGGGTTTCATATAGCGTGGTTTCTGTAAAAGGCTGTAAATGGATGATGAGGTATTAATGTTCATAGACTCCTTACTCAACTCCAACCACTACAAAAGTTGTTCAAAGCCAAAGGGCATGTTTTTCCTCACAAACCCACAATTTGTAAATTGGGTAGGGATAGTATTCAAATCCTGACAGAGCACGGGATCTCTAACAGATGACATACATACTGTATGCTTCCAAACAATTGCTCAGCCACAGATGACAAGAAACCTCTTCATTAAAACAGGATATTAGATTTTCAGACAAAGCAAACACTCCAAAACACTGGAAACAGGAGCTGTTGATACTGATACTTTCTGTTCTCTTCTATTTATATAGCTACCTCTTATTGTTTTTGTCAGAACATCATCTGTGTATGAAACAATGCCTTTGATTGGAATATGAGCATACGAAAGTCATCAAAGTAAGGTACGATTTTTGGTTGGTTTACCTCAAATGCTATAAACCTGTTCTGTACTGGGTAGGAAACAGAGAAGTTGAAGGCAGTAACAAGAAACAAAATTTCCCCACAAATTAATACAGTTATCTGAAGTAAACAGGTACAGAAAGATTACTCTAGTTTTATCTGAGGTGAAAAATTGTCCTGGATAAAGTGCTGTATAATCTGTTTTGTTATATCAAATTCCTTACGCATGTTTATAAATGTTATCTTAGAAATGTGAGAACTATGTGAAGGGCTGAATACAGAGAATTGCTAAATACTGCATTCATTAGCAACTGTGAAAGTCTAGACATCTGACATGAGAGAAATATTCGACGTATTGCGGAGACTCTTCAAATGAAAAAAAAAGGCAACAACTGATACTGAACTGATTTTAAAAATCGGCTTAAATTCAAGGATGTGTACGTAGTTTCAAGGAAGACCATAAAGTATTTCACCTTGCAAAAAGACTGGAAAATTCTCTTTGTAGTTGATGGGCGTGGTGGTTGTTTGACAATTTGGTCTAATAAAAGTAGGAAGAGAAGGCAAACACAGGAAATTATGTCTGAAACTTCAGCAGAGATGGAGCTGACCTCCTCCTAGAGGTCACAACACCTAGAGAGATCTGACAATAGATTTAATGTTCCTCATTTTTATATTATTTCATATCTGATCTATTTTGGAACTAACAGATCTTCCATTTTATGGAAGAAAATCTTCCTTTATTCTTGCAATAAAAGGTGTCGGATATTACAGAAGCTACCACAAAGGTTCCTAAAAAGTCAGAATATGCTCTCATTTATTAATCTTTGGTGATAGGGAATCTTCGTGATTGTCAGCCATCTTTTCCAAATAATGTCATTAGTAATAGAATTCACCCCAGTACCACCTGATAGCCCTGTCAGATGCATGTCAAGAACAGTTATTTTTCGTAACCACACGTAAAGACCATATGTTGATCAGATTTAAAGAGAACAAGTTCATTTGACATCTGTTTTGTACGATTTCTACCACAAAAGAAGTTTGAGAACACATAGGCACGAAATATGAAAAAAACAAACAAAAAACAATCTCGTGGGAAGACAGAACTTATTTGTGCCAAACACATCAGAGAAGCTGATTATAAATCAATCGTCTCTGCTGCTTTAGCTAGTTTCTCTCAAAGAGGAAATGGCACTGTACATACAAAACACATGAAAATGCAAAAGAGGTAAAAAGTATCATATATAAATACAGCCAGAATACCTGTCTGATTACTTAAAGCAGCAGCGTCCATAGACAGCATGGAAGTGTTAAATTCCACATTAACATCCAAAAAATGTCAAAGTCTTCTAAGAAACAGCCAGTCCATAAGGATGCATTACCAAAGACAGTTTGTCCTCTTCAGAAAATATGTTGTGATTTTTTTCCCCTCAACATTATGGGAGCTATCACAGATTTGTGTGATGTAAATGCAAATAGGAGAATGCTAAACCTTTTGTTCAATTCATGATGAAGAAGGTCTCAGTCATAGGCGATTATCATACTGAGCTATGGAGTACAGATACAATAAAGAGCTTACCATTCTCAATAAAATCCATTTTGAAATTCATCTGACCAAATATATAGCTTATATTCAAGGTAGCTGTTTGTTTGGAAAGTATATACTTTTATGGACAAGGAACATTACTAGATCAAGGGTTCAATCTCTGCTTTAAACTAAATGTCACCAAAGACCAAACTGTTGCCAGGTGCATGCAAGAATGTGATTCCCTGCTGCTCACTTCATGAACCAGATAAGGACAAGGGTATTTTGTACTGCTTCTGTGGTTCTTCCATTCTTTGGCAAGCCACTAGAAACATGAGAAGCAAACAGACACCCAATGCCTTTTTATCCAGTGTTGCTATATATTAACAGTTTGGTTTTTTCCACCAAGTTCTTCAGTTCCTTGCTTAACAACAAATGTGTGATCTAATAAGTATATCTCATTGATTGAAAAGATACCAATAAATCTGTTCTTTGACTGCAGAGGTCCAGCCATCTCAAATTCCTTTAAGGCTTAAACACTTAAAAGTAAGACTGCAAATATAACCACAAACAAATAAAATTTGCCAGTGGCCATGTATCTTGTACCCATTCTCATATACTTAAGGTCAGTCAAATTCTTTATGTTCTTGTAACATAACTATTGTTTCTTATATCCTTTCCTTGTTACCATTTAAAAGATCATCACCCTGAAGAAAAGTGATCCTCATGCCTAAATACACAGAAAAAAAACCCTGTACCATAAAGCACATTCAGTACATAGAATCTGAATGTTAAAAATACACCACCTTTTCTTATCTAGCTACAATAACACCAGCTATTCTAAATCCTAAGTTTCCTAGAGAAGCCACTGAAGGGATTAATCTGGAGTAATTCTCAAAAAAATTCCAAAATCAGGCAGAAATCATATTACCTTTTTCACTCTCATCTTCATATACATGAAGCAAAAGGAAACACTGTCCAAATTGTACTGAAAAGTACACATCATGAATGAAGATACCAATACCTCATCCCAGTACCCAGAATGCAAGCCATAAAGACCAAGAAGTAAAGTTCAATCAAAACACAAGAACAACTTGAGAACTAAAATCCAAAAGATGAGATAAAACACTAACTGCAGAGAGTTACGGTAAAAGAAACAGACACTTCAAACTCGCTGCAGGCATGATGTGTCATGTTGGTGGGCAGTAAAGCAAGCAATTTCTTAAGGATTACCTCACACACAAAATATTAGATAACACTGAGAAAATGGACAGAGAGTTATTGCTACAGTTTGGATTGTAGTAATAATGTAACTTTTTCTTTTTTAGTGAGTAGCTTTTACACTAATGGTTTCTCTTACCAAGCATTTCTTTCTTCCCCAGCTGCTCTGACCAGTAGCTGCTTAAAACAGCATGGGCAGATCCTTAAAAGAAATTGGAAAACAAAGTTCAGAATTAAATTAGAATCACTGCTTTACAGAGCAAGCACATTCAAACTGTAAATGCCATAAACTAATCAAGTGCCACATGTGTGTTTAGGGCAAAAACACCTAATAGTTTCTACAGCAGACAGAACTTAACACTTCATTGTTTCATTTATTTATGATAAAGGAGTACTACTTCCTCATCCTCTGGCTTCAGTGGAAATTTTACCTAGGTGAGGGCTTCATGATTAGCCACAATTGGTAACTAGTACCCACTAAAAATGAGCCAAGGTACTCATTTGTTTACCAAAAGTGAAGTTTCCTAGTAAAAGAACCTCAAAATATTAAATTCAAAACATCTAAATATTAAGTTATTCAGTGAAACACAAATAGCTATCCATCAAAAATCTGAACAGGCTTTCAGATATTTTTTAAGAACAGGAGCAGGTGGATAGAAGTCACTGTGTAAAACAAAGGCATTTCCTCTCCTAACACTTTTCACAACAAAACCTCTGGTTTTTTTCAGTCTTGAATGCTGGTAAGTATGAGGATGTAATTCAAGGAGATCTTCAAGGTCCCACCACAGCTTCCAAAAACTAAAAGACCAATTTCTTGTTCTGTGACTGGCAGATGGCTTAAAAACTTAGGATGACTTCTCAGATTGATAGCTAGATATGCTGCTTCAGTCTACACTAGCAGCTAGGGGCAAAGACGCTCTGCTGGAGACCCTGCTGTGAAGTAACTAGAATTGTCAGGGCTCAAGGACACCAAGACCCACAGCATTATTAAGAAATAATTACCAAAAAAAATACAACAGAAAGCCATAACACCGTTAAAATTATACTTCAGTTATACAATAAAAAGATTGGTTTCTGCAAGACAAAGGACGCTTAAAGACAGAAGACAAGCAACAGTGAGCTATAATAAGCCTAGAAAAATCTCAGAGATTCAGGAAACTTCTATCTTTTCCTACCTATTACTACTAGTCTTCCCAGAAATCCTAAGGACCAAGCTCTGGGATTAGATAGATCTACCAGACTCTGTCCACGGCTTTATCAGGGAAGTAGGACTGAAAGCTTAAAAAAAAATAACTGAAATATATGGCTTGTATTTCTTTATAAACTTCTCTTTCTGCTAGGATTGCCAAATAACTAGCACTACTCCAGCAAAGTTAGTTTTCTCTTTATTTAGCAAAACATTTAATGAGCACTTTTGACCAAGTTCTCAGCTGAACAATAATTAACCTGTGATTAACTGGTACCTAAGCAAATAACATCATTCTGCAGCAACACTCATCACACTTACTGAGTGGCTCATCAAAGGAACAGGTGGCAAAGTAGCCTTCCTGCCCCTAAATATACAACTAGCTGAATCCATATTATTCTTCGGCCTGAGAATATCCACAGTAACTGCCATGAAACTACAGGAAATCTCAGCTGAAGTACACACACAAAAAATAAAAGAAAAGTAAAATACAGAACACCAACAGAAGTGGATATGACCTTCTACTGCAAAACTCGTTCAAATACTGATTAATAGTCTCTCACTTTTCTCTAATTGGAATACTTTAAGGAAAAGATCTGAAAAAGACACAGGAATAACTGGCCAGATGACAGCAAGAAGCTGATTTTTTCTGAATGAGTTAGCACCAGTAGTGAAAGCTTCCAGTTTAATGAGCACACTTCTGCTGTCCATATAAAACAGTAATTTATAAGGCTCCAAAGTACAAAACCAGACTCAAGAAACACAGTAAGAACCTTTTGATTGAACTGAAATAAGAGTCACTTATCACACAAACACATACCTGTAACTGGGTCTTCCAGAACTCCATACCAAGGTGCAAAATATCTGGAGTAAAAATCATGGCCTTTATGTTTTCCACTGGAATTTCCCTTAAGAGTGAGTATAAGTCCTTTCACCTTTCCTGTCTTTTCAGCTGACAAAAAGTGTTGTGCACTCACTTGCAGTTCTTCCAACACAGACCTTAAATATAATTATAGAATTGTAATAGTCCATATTCTTTATTTTACATGAATTTAAGTAGTGAAAAGAAACATAAAACTACAAAATCATATTCTCTGCAATCCCAAAACAGCCATGGTAAAATGCTGAAAGGAAACAGGATTCCTAGCATTGTCCTCCCAATGTCATTTGACAGAATACTACTCTGAATATAATACACTCCAAGTGAGCAGAGAGAAAAGTTCAAGCCATGCATTTCCTATTTCTGAAAACAGAGCATCCTGGAATATTAGCTACAAAAATGCACACTTTTGTTTCAACATTTTAATAATTGAAAGGCATACTTCATCACTACAGAATGCAAAGAGTAAGCAAACAACTAACACCACACAGATCTTCACAGGATTCTAAAGCACAATACTTCAAGTCTGGAACTTCAAGTCTGTGAAGTTCCAGATATCTCTGTACAAAATGAAGTCTGAATGAGTAAAAGTAAGTACTCGGCTGAAAAGATGTCTATCTCCCCACTAGCCCAATCTTTAAACATCAGCTAAACTGCCAAAACTTCAAGTGAAAATAATAGTAATTTGGCCTCATTAAAGAATGTGTTTCAGCAATATATATCCAATTCATACTTGATTTAACAATGAAATTCAGCTCTCCCAGATTAACAAATGCTTTGAAATAATTTGAATTGGAATTTGCTCTATAAAGCTACTTATGATGCTGTTAAGCATGTGTAAGCAGATTACAGTCAAATGGGAATTAGAATCCATGGCATTCTGTCAATGCACCCTGTGTCACTAAGTGGACCTCTAAAGCTATACAACTATTACTTCCTCACTTGAGAAGCAAGACTTCTAATTCCCTGCTAGGTTACTCCATTTTTTTCACTCAGATGAAGGGAAAAATACACAATCATTAAAAGTGTTTCCTATACCTCCTTTTCTCAAAGACAGATTTCAGACTGATTTTATGTAGCTTTCCAGGTTTAATAAGCTCACATGAGAAAATAAAACTATTTAACACAGGAATTCAAATTCAAGTTTTTAATCTCACCTGTTTTAAAACTAGATAAAACAGCCTAGTGTGTAAAGGATCGAGGTTAAACAAGCAGACTCAATATCTGCACACTTGATTTAAAAAAAAAAAAGTGTAAGACACCTTTCATAAGTATCACTGAGGCGGACTAAGAGTTTCTTTGTGTCAGGAGAGTAACGAAGATCCTGAACAATCATGTCACCAACGGCAGCCTGGTGGAAAAGTTAAAGGAGACAAAGAAAGACATCATAATTTGAATATGAAATATTTCCTTAAGATTTTCAGAAAACAAACTCCCTGCTAGAACAGGGTTTATGCAAGGGCTTTCATGCAGCCCTCAAGAACACACAAGCAAGAAGAGTAAATGCACTAAGTGCATGAATGGATATGGGTAGGTGCTAAGAGCTCTGTATTTGTCAGGTTGGAAAGAAATTCAGGGACCTAGAAGAGGGCAAGGACAGTAGACTGCATCGCACCCATACAACAGGCTGAAAATGTCACTGAAAGAAATACTGACATGGCAGCCAGTGGCAGTGGGAGACAAAAGTTCAACTGCAGCATTTCGGAGAATTCCATTTCCTGAGCTGCATGACTCAGACCTTTCAAATTTCATGTTTCGAGTTCAGGAGTACATCAAGCAATGCAAAGTTACTACTTTTCAGCCATTTTCATGTATAAAAAGAAGGACAGCTGTTAGAAGTGTGCTTCTAAGACCATGTATAGATTCTTTTTTTACCTTTATTAACTCTTCTACTTCCTGAAGTGCCTGAAGAAAAAAAACAACAAAAACACTGTAAAAAATAGAACACATATCTATATATATGCATATATATATATATATGTATACGTATATATAGGTATCTATCCAACTACACATAGTCAGATATGCTTACATAGTCATACAAATATAAGCACATACTTTTACTGGATGCCTTTAATGTATAAAATTTTGACTGACCTGAGGGTATGTTAAGTAAAGTGGCAAGTCCAGAACAATACGATCTTCCAGTTTTTTGGCTTTTAATTCCCCACTCAGTGTCACAAATGTGAGGACTGAATTTGTGTTCTCTAGAGCAAGAACATTGCAACATTAACAAACAAAAATTTGAATCTAAATTATAGCTCTTAAGAGTAGCTCAGTAAATCCAGAAAAGGTTAGTTAAGCAGCTAAAATATAACTACTACAGCAAATCTGTATTCTGAGATAAAACTCCCTAGTAACTCCACATAAATAATCTGCTGAGGCTTATAAACATAACTGCCAGTCAATCCTTCCTGCATGTTCCAAGAGTGAATGGGAATTTCCTTTTAACAGAAAAAGTAATACTCCCTATTCATCAAATTCTACTGTACCTCTCCAAGAAGACATTTGCATCTTTAGCACTTTCCTTAAACAATAGGAACAGTGGGGCATCTGAATCCAAGAGTGGGCATCAGACTACAACCTTATAATTACAGAGCAGTTATACTATACAGTGCCTAACATATATCCGTATGTGTTCTCTAAATGTTCCAAATACTTAGTTGCTTTTGTCATAGAAAATAGAGATCTTTTTAATCACAAGTAAATTTTATAAAAAGTTATAGTAATAAATAATTTGTAAACATACTTTGCGTGTGAAACAACACAGCAGCTGAGGCAAGTGTAGCATGACCACAGAGAGGGACTTCATTGGCTGGGGTGAACCACCTGAGCCCAAAGCAGGAACCTTGAAAATAAAGTTTATGTAGCATTAGTAGGTGGAACAAAAGTCTATTTCTTCAATTTACTTCAAAACTTTATACAGAGTGATGAAACTCAGTTAATCAAAATGCATGTTATACTCAGTCTTGGTCTTAAGCACACTTTTAGGAACCTTATTTGTACTCATTTTTGGAATAGTTATTGCTTTTGAGTAAGGTCAACAACAGGATGGCACTACTAACAGAGGAAAGCTACTTTGTTACAAGAGCAAAGGGGCTGCAGAGCATAAATGCCTTCTGGCCTAGGAACCAGAAGCATCCCTGGTAAGTGCAGCTGGCACCTTTGAAGTGCTGCTGGGTAGCAAGAAACCAGAGACATGCTGAGATACCATTGATAAGCACAAAACCAACAAACTGTAACAACAACTTATCCCCTGAAAAGGTGAAAAACAGCCTGGGTAAAGGAGAAAACATTCTGAGAAAGTAAGAATCAGTAACTGCCACTGGCTGTCCTAACTGAAAGGACAGGAAAACAGTCCAGAAAAATAAAAATTGGTCTGCGACCAATAAATCATAAATCAATGCATCCCTAAAATAACGTAGCTTTTAAAAAATTAAAATCTAGTACACTGATCGCAAACTCATACTCCCGCAAAAACATACTCTTTGTTCAGGAGCCCTTATTACACCAATTAACATTCCAGAAGCAGATGACAGTATCGTAAATGTCGTTCTGATGTTCCCAGTCTCCTCTCTCTCCTACCACCCCACAACTCATACATTCTCAGGTATAGCTCAGTGACTAAATTACTTCAAAAAAATAGTGCACCTCTTTGGCAGCCGTGTGGGTCTCATGTCACAAACTTTAGCCCCACTAATAGCAAAAGCACTTTAATGAGTAAGAAGCTGGCATTTTATATGCTGTTGAATATGGATGACTTGAAAATAAAGAAATGTATTAAACATATCGGCAAGGTGTTAACATGAAAAATGAAAGGTACTATCAATTCTTGATTCAAGCAATTAGTGTAACCCTAAAACAAATTCCAATTTATTAACAGAACGTGTCAGTGATAATAGTTACTACTTTAAGAAAACCCTCTTTAACTACAGAGATTGTAAAAAATCCCACTCCCTGAACAATCAAGTGATAGAGAACAGTTTCTTTGTATACTGTTCTAGGGTCTCTTTCAGATAGCCAAAAACTCCAAAGCCACTTATGTCTCTTCCAGTACTATGTCAGATCAAAAAGCAAGGGCACGTCAACACAATACCTTAACCTGGGACCTAACTCCAGGCTAGCCAGGTTCCAGCCACTTGGCTCATGCCACCACACAACTGCAGAGTGAGCAGATTCAGCAAACTGATTCAGCTGAAAGCTAATCCACAAAGCGATTTTCACCACTCTGTATTAGTTCAATATTTTCTATCTTGTCTAGTATCTCTCCATTTCCTCTCTCGTTGTATATGCATGCTCTACCAAAGAAAACCAGTGAAGTCTCTCTACTCAAATCAATCAAATAAGCAGCCTAACGTGTTTGTTTTGGGCAACTTGACATTTTCCAGTCTTATTGGAAACCTGTGTTTTCCAGTATTGGCTTCACAGACAGCTTAGGAGATTTTCTGACAAACTCAAACAACAGCATACAGTTACCACAGTGGTGATTTCCTGAATAGCCAAGCCAGGTTCTACTCATTTTGCAGTCTCGTGCATATGGAATAAGCAAGTTCTGTCTCTATTCTTCTACTTGTATAGTAAGAAATTATCTCAGGAGATAGTAACGGGAGTATTAATTCAAGGATCTTTGCACAGTGTTTTTACATTTTCTATATACAACTTGCTTATTTAGTAAAAGGCAAGCTCAACTAGTTCAAACAAACGGTCTAATTTATGAATAATCAACGACCGTATATTGTAACATAAATTTGACATGCAACACAAATACTTTAAAGAATCCACGTGCAAAAGGCTTATTATTATTAAGATACATCACAACTCCAAGGTTTTGCTTTGGCTCTCTTACAACTTAGCACCATTCCTTAGAAAAGCACCCACAGTATCTTCCTCTTCCTCTGCAAGAGATTTCGGTGAGTAGAGAGAGACACTCACTTTTCGTGAAGTCATCTCCAGGGTGTAGTTTTCTGATGAAAGCAGTTTCTGAAAGGTTCATTTCTGTTGCGATTTTTTGGTGCAAATCTTCATCCAAGTCCTAATGATGAAACAATAAATCTAACTAAAAGCAGGCCAAAAAATACAAAATCAAACTCTGTCAAATAAATTCAGTAATTTCATTTTCTATTATAATAAAACCAATTCATTTTTAGTTCAAAATTCTTTCTAAGAGTAAAAAAGCTTCAAGCATAAAATGGGAGAACTAGTTCAATCATGACACATGGGCATTTCTAGTATCTATCCTATTAATTTACAGATTCTTGGAATACATGGAAAATCAAATCATCAAAAACCCTCAACTCAGTCTTTCCGTGAACACGTACCTTTTTTTAAAAGTTATTATTAAAGTCACACTGAGACGTCATTATTAACACAATCTAAAGATAACCATAACTGTCTTTTTATAACTCTGAAAAATCAATGCCAGCAACAGGTATGTAGTAATGACTAGGGCAATGGCCAAGATGGCTGAGCAGCGCTTACAGCTGTACCCTCCACACTACTCTTTGACCAAGAACAATGTGCTAAGGCAGTAGAAGCTGAGAGGAGATAAACAGAAAAACAGAAGTGCTGGAGCTCACTACATTCTGCCCTAACTGCCTGCAGATTTAAACCAGTGAACATTGATCCCAGGATACACGAGTTGTAGTGATTGCATGGAATTCTACTTCACCCTTGTTCCACTGCTCTTTCCCCACAATTAATTCTGCTGACTGGCCAGGATGAGGATCTGCTTTTTAAAATACTGAAACACAAATGAAACAAAAGTACTGAGTGGACCTGGCCAGGTTCAAAATCTGTCAGATCAATCTGCCCTGCTAACTTTAGTTATTTCCCTTAACAACTTTAATCCTTTTCAGCAAATGATCCCATATTAGAGACACGGGACAATTACTGATGCGTACCATAGACTTGTATTTGCAGGGTGAATTCTGTACAATGAAACAACCTTCTAACTTTTTACAGTAGTATGCCTTTATTCCAGGAAAACAGTTCTGTCAATGACTCTGAAGATACCAAACCAGAACAAAGACCAACCAAAACGTTACTGAAAATAATAGAACTTTACTGAAATGCTGCCATCATGTGGCACTTCTGAAACACAGAAAGGGCTTGCTTTGCCATTCTTGCATTACTCCCAATGGGTTTTGTAAAGCATCTGCTGAGACGCTGAAGGGAACAGAGAACAGAAATGTTGCGGCCAGCTGCACCATAACTTTCCTGGAGCTTAGAATAAAGTCATGCATTAGTATCTCTGCTTTAACACTAAAATCTCTAGTCCCAAGAGCTTTAGAAAAAACTTTAAAATCTCAGCGCTCCAAAGACAACATGCAAATAAGTTGTCATCACAATATATGTAATTAGAAGCTCAGAATTTTAAAGTAAGTTTATTTGGGGGGTATTTAGATTTCAGGAGAAAAAATCACCTCTGAAGTTAGTGTTCCCAGTTATATCTTCAGCTGACCTGGTGAGTAGGCTATATTGTATGAGATCTGGATCAGCTTAGGAACATCAGGAAAGGATTCGTATTTTCAGTACAAACTATCGTCAGTACAAGCTATTGCCATTGACTCATCTACGTATATTTTCTCGTTTACAATTTTCATCAAGCGAAATATATGTATCCTATACAAATAATATAAGGCCTATAAATTTCTAATCCAGTTTAGTTTTTGGTAGAAACTGTTAACTGTGTACCAATTAGCACCAACTGTTCAGAACACCCTCATGGGGAAGATGACTACTGTTAAATGCACTAGAACTACCATGCAAGTCTGCCTGGGTGTTTAAACTCGGGTAAAGCAGAACCTGAAACAGTGAAAGACTCAGATCTAGGTCTATACTGCATCTCTTTCCATCCTTAGAAAACAAAAAATTTAAAAAATTAAAAGAAAAAAAGAGAGGGGGGAAACCATAAAACCCCATACCAGAACAAACCCCTACATTTTAACACTTCATTCAAAAAACACCGAATACTTATTCTGTTATTGCATTTCCTTTAAGAAATTTTATTCTTAATTCATTGTCTTATTAAGCCATAATTCTTGCCCTGAGTTAGTCTAAAACGAGTAAATTCCTTTAAAAAAAACACTGAAGCCCACAAAAAATACAAAATGTGTCTTGTATGAAATGATTCTGATGGCGGGAGGAATATCCCTGTGCTAATTTATCTGCATTCTGGAGTAACAGCAAACACCACTTGCAAGCAGAACCCCTGAGGAAGCAAGGTCTAATGCAGCCCTGAGCGCTCAGGTCAAGTCCAGAACGGTAAATGCTATTAGTCTCTTACAAAACAATTAAACTTACATTTTCAAGCAGACAAACTGCCGCAGGATTTCCAGAAAATGGCCGGTTTGAAAATGCATCAACCGTAAAAATGGGAATTTGCATTGTCGTTTGCGCCTATTTAGTCTTAAGCTGTGTTCTGCAAGGCACTTCCTAACCTGTTGTCTCCCTAAATGATAAAAGAACTCTTAAGTTAATGTTTCACCAAGGGCAGGAGGCAGCGTCCCCCCATCCCGTCACTTCCGTGCACGTACATAGACTGGAGCCGCCTTCCACACCCCCAACGATCAGCGCCCTTTCCAATTCTTTAAAACAGATTTTAACCTCCCTCTCTCATCGCTTGCTACTTGCTGTAGAACGCTCTAACAAGGCCTTCTACCCCAGCGCCCGGCTCCGCATGTCCC